AGTGTAAAATTAAAAATAATAAAAAAACAACAACAACTTAAAAGTGTGTAAAAAAGAAGTTAGAGAGAAATCTATCAATTGTACTTTTTTTAGCAGCAGGTTCACAACAGTTGTAGTGGAATACAAAATGGTCTTAACTTGGGTTTTTTTTTAGTTTAGAAATTGTTCGTTTAATGAATACAGAGAAGTAAAAAAAAGATATTGAAATAAATAGCAATAAAAAGATAAAGTGTGTTTGTAAGATTTTTTATGTTGTAGATACAACTAGATCAGCTAAGAGTGTTTATTTAGAGAAAGAATGTTCAAGTGTGAAAGATAAATTTACTTGAGTAATATTCAGAGATTTTTATCCACTCTTAACAAAAGGTGCATTAAAAATAAAAATAAAATATACAGCACATGAAAAGATGCGTAACAGTAATTTATGGGGAATAAAATTTGAGGATGTTCAGCTAGCACACGATAATTAGATAGAGCAAACAAGATGATTAAATAGAGGATTAAAAATTAGATGATTAGATAGAGGATTAAAGAGAAACGATGTTTACATAGAAGAACAGTATGGCTATAAAAGATCAAAAAAATAGCAACAATCGTAGAAGAATATTGGGAATAGTTGGAAATATATGTGAGTTACTGATATTGTGCACTATATAACATTAATATGGTTTGCACACAAAAAAAGTAGAACTAGAAGTAGGAAAATTTGGGGAGAATGTTTCAAAAAAGCTTAATTTTAAAAAAAAAAAACACTAGGTGCGGTGAAGTATCAGAATCGACATAATGAGAAACTTTCAAACAGGGGCGCTGAGAGCTTTTGCCCTGCCTGGGGCAGCAACCCTGATTTGTGTTCTCATTTTTATACATTTTTTCTATATTATTAGTCAAGGATCTTAGTTTTGGAACCTTTTTTGTTTTACACCCCTGCTGATCTGAATGCTGATTAAATTTTAAGCATATATAGTGCCGAAGCTTCGGCATCGGCAAAGTGGCTTCGGCAAAATTTTAGCTTCGGTACATCCTTAACTAAAATAGAATCTTTCGTGATTATTAAAATATCGAACCACAATAAACATAAACATGATTTTTGTTTCAACGATCAAGCGTTGTTTATATAGTTGTATTTAAATATACAAATATACTACTAAGTATTTAATTAAATTGCACCTTCTAACATCGTGTGCAATCCTGTCCGCTTTCTGTATGCTATCTTTCTAACACGACTTCTTCTGTCTTTTACTCTAACATTCTTCGTTCTTCCTAAACTCACTTTACTCTTGGTCCGTAGAGCAGGTAATGACGCTATTTATTAGCTGAACTTATCTTTGCGGTCCTTGGTAATGTGGCCTCCGTATGGCAATTAGCTGGAGGAGGATAAACCACAATACCTATATTGTATATATATATATATATATATATATATATATATATATATATATATATATATATATATATATATATATATATAATGTTTATATAATTATATATATATATAAAAGTATATATATTGTATTTATAAATATATACATATAAATATATAATATATATTATATATATATATATATATATATATATATATATATATATATATATATATATATATATATATATATATATATATATATATATATATATATATATATATATATATAGATAGATATATATATATATATAGATAGATAGATATATATATTTATGTATATATTTATACATATATATTTATATATCTGATAATATAAATACGCTAATTTAATATTAGTCGAGTTACGTCATATTCTAGGCTTTTCTATTTTAAAGTAGTTTCTAGGCTTTTCCATACGCGGTTTTTTTTTTAATTTTATTTACTAACAACGCGTATTATGGGTTGCTTACTGCTAGTATATATAAATTACATACATTAATTAGCTTATGCCAATTATGTGTAGTAACATAATGCACCCTCCAACATCGTGTGCAGTCCTGTTCGCTTTCTGTATGCTATCTTTCTAACACGACTTTTTCTGTCTTTTACTATAACATTCTTAGTTTTTCCTAAACTCACTTTACTCTTGGTCCGTAAAGCAGGTAATGACGCAATTTATTAGCTGAACTTGTCTTTGCGGTCCTTGGTAATGTGGCCCCCGTATGGCAATTAGCTGGAGGAGGATAAACCACAATACCTATACATATATATATATATATATATATATATATATATATATATATATATATATATATATATATATATATATATATATATATATATATATATATATATATTGCATACATTAATTGGCTTAAGCCAACTATGTGATAGTAACATATTGCACCCTCTAACATCGTGTGCAATCTTATCCGCTTTCTGCATGCTATCTTTTTAACACGACTTCTTCTGTCTTTTACTCTAACATTCTTCGTTCTTCCTAAACTCACTTTACTCTTGGTCCGTACAGCAGGTAATGACGCTATTTATTAGCTGGACTTGTCTTTGCGGTCCTTAGTAATGTGGCCTCCGTATGGCAACATATATATATATATATATATATATATATATATATTTATATATATATATATATATATATATATATATATATATATATTATATATATATATATATATATATTATACATATATATATATATAAATATATGTATATATTCATATATATATATTCATATATATATATATATATATATATATATATATATATATATATATATATATATATATATATATATATATATATATTATACATATATATATATATAAATATATGTATATATTCATATATATATATATTCATATATATATATATATATATATATATATATATATATATATATATACATATATATATATATATATATATATATATATATATATATATATATATATATATATATATATATATATATATATATATATATATATATATATATATATATATATATATATATATATATATATATATATATATATATATATATATATATATATATATATATATATGTAACATATTTATATTACTTTAGATTATATATATATATATATATATATATATATATATATATATATATATATATATATATATTATATATATATATATATATATATATATATATATGTATATATATATATATATATATTATATATATATATATATATATATATATATATATATATATATATATATATATATATATATTATATATATATATATATATATATATATATATATATAAAGAAAATAGAATTTAATGAAAATTTAATTCCGAATACTATTGTATAAAACGTTTTATTAATTAATGTTCAACGTGAATACAACGTTGGGGTAACGTATAGAATAAAACGTTGAATCAACGTAAAATATATAAGCATTTTCTGATTTTAAATAAAGGTTTTATCAACATTGATTTTTAGTTGTTAGCGACATCGCATTTGTAACCATAATGATATAAAAACAACGTTGTCAACCGATGTTTGGGTCAACAAAACGTGCGACATTGTTCTAATATTTTAACAACGTGTGTTTGCTAGCTGGGTCGTGATGTAATAAATTTAAAACTATAATAATAATAATAATAATAATTGAAGCTGTGTTCTTGAGAGTTTCAAGAAAGAATCTAACAACTCTAGATGTTAGATTTTAACAACTGTTTTTCGCTAAACTTTTTAAGTTTATTTTTAAAATCAATTACTGAATTAGCGTTAACAAATTCACTGTCCAAACGATTCCAGTTTTCAACTATACGGTTAGTGAAGAAATGATGCCTCGGCAAAAAGTTTTGAACATACTGCCTTCGCAACCTTTGATTGTGTCCTCTAGTTAGCCTACCCAATACTTCTGGTTCACGATGCCAATTGATAGTATCAATTTTGTTCATGAGTTTGTACATTTGGATAAGATCACCTTTTTCCCTTCTCTTTGATAGATTTTGTAAGTCCATTTTCTCTAATTTTTGCTCGTAACTGTCTTTCTTTTTTTTGTAGCCAAATTTTGTAGCTTTTTGCTGAATTTTTTCTATTAAGTTTATATCTTTCATAAAATATGGGTTCCACACTTGAAAAGCATATTCTAAGTGTGGCCGAACGAGTGACTATATAACAATTTTGTTGATGTTTCATCTGGATAGAGGATTGCGTGCTTTAACATACCCAATTTTTGATTTGCCTTACTTACCATTTTTTCAATGTGGTCTTCCCATTTTAAATTGTCTGAAATATAAACACCAAGGTCTCTTTCCAATGACGTTACTATTAGTCCATGTTGAATAATCTCTGTTTCTGTAGCATTATATTTTAAATTATACTTTATTTTCGGATTATCACGACCAAAATTTACATTTTACATTTATCTTTATTAAAACTGATAAGCCATCTTTTAGTCTAGTTAAATGTCAAGATCCAACTGTAGAGAGTTATTTATTTTATTTTTTTCTAGAATTGCAATTATTTTTAAATCGTCTGCATATAGTTTTGCTTTATTATTCAACTTTTTTGTTAAATCAACAAAAAAGTTGAATAATAAAGCAACAATTTTCCGACAATACCAAATGACTTAAGTTTCAAGAGCAGCCTGGAATGCGGAACTGAATCAAATGCCTTAGAAAAATCTAAAAGGCAACATCAACACATTTTCCACAATTTATTGATTCTGTTATTATGTCTAATGTCTCGAGATGGTTTGTTATACAATTTTTTGATTTAATGAATCCGTGTTGTTCTGGTATTAATAACTTATTTTTATTTAAAATGGTTCATTATTGTATCCTTAACAATACTTTCCATTACTTTACAAACAACAGAGGTCAATGAAATTGGACGGTAGTTACCTGCATTCAATCTATCCCCATTTTTAAAAATTGGAGTGATATTTGCTTTTAACCAGCTTGTAGGCAATGTTCCAGTTAAAAATGATTGGTTAAATATCATACAGAGTGGTCTAGCTAAACTGTCAGCACACTTACTTAAAAACATTGGATGAATTCTATCGATACCTGGGGACTTGTGCACATTTAGATTCAATAATCGTTTTTTAATATCTTTCCATTAAACAATGGGGTTGGGCAAATTTTTTCTGTTATATTTTCACATGTAGGCATATTAGTTAGGCTTTCGTTTATGAATACTGAATTGAAAAACCGATTTAACTGATTAGCAATAACTTGACTGTCAGTTGATATTTCATTGTTTTCAATTGAAATTGCTCTTATATGGTCTTTAGCTTTTAGTTTACTGTTAATATAAGCATAAACTTGTTTTGGATTTTTTTTTGATTCTGTTGCAATTTTATTTTCATATTTTTGTATTGTAATCTTTACAAGTTTTTTAACTAACTTGTTTTTTAGTTTATATTCTTCCTTAAGATCTAAATTTTTGAAATGAGAGGCTTTGTATCGATACCAAAGGTTACGCTTAAGTCGAATTTCGTGTTTTAATTCTTTATTCATCCATAAGGATCTTTTGCTTTCAGTTGTTTTTTGATTAAATGACGGTATGAAATCTTTACAGCCGTATTCAATAGTTCTAATAAAACTTTCATAACACTGATCAACATTAAGTCCAGTAAACTCATGACTCCAGTTAAATTTATTTAAATATTTTGAAAATTCATGATAATTTCCTTTCATGTATACTCGCTTTGTAGTAATACTTTCATTTTTGCGATTATGTAATTGATAATTAAAATTAAAATTTAAAACATGATGACCTCTTTTTGTTTTCCCCAAAGGATCCATATGTACCAAGCTGGATATGCGAAAAGGAGAAGTTGTAAATACTAAATTTAATATATTTGTTAATTTTGTGTCATTTAATTGAAATGTTGGTTTTTTTACATGTTGTGTGAGATAACATTCTTCAATGCATTCTAGAAACTGTCTCTCTTTTTCTCCAATGCAGACACTTTCATAACAAGAATTCCATATACTATTCAAGGATGGAAAATTGAAGTCACCACATATTAAAACCTCAGTATATATTTTAGTTTTTGAGAAGTAATTGTAACTTTCTTTAATAGAATTGATTACATTTTGAAAGTTTACTAAATCATCACTTCCTGGTCTATAAATACAGCCACATAATATGCATTCATTGCTCATTTTAATGGTACACCGAATCTGCTCAATATTTTTATTATTATAGGGTTCATTATTGACTTCAAATGAATCAATTAGGTCATTTACATAAATACAGACTCCACCACCTCTGCTATTCATTCGGTCTCTGCGATAAAGGTTATAACCAGGTATAATTGCTGCTGAGGTATCATTCCACCATGTTTCTGTTATGAAAATTATATCTGGAGAGCTTATTTCAATTTCAGCTATAACTTCATTTAATTTATTTTTTTCAAATGATGTAGCATTGGTATATAAACATTTCAAACTATTTGAGTTGTATCCAGTACTTATAACTGGCTTTTGTGCATTATCATTTATTTTAATTTTAAAATCTTGGATACCGGTTACAGTTCTTTTAAACATTAGAATGTTATTTATTTTGTTTGCCACTTTATACTCAAATTGCTATGTTTTTTTAGTCAGTTTTACTACTTTATTACTTCTTATACCATAATAAAATGAGCTATTGTTCATGTCTGAATTTCCGTTTAAAATTTTCACTTCAGATCTTAATTGCTTCGTTAAAATTCTTTCTGCTTCAGTCATATCAGTATTAAAGTAAATATTTGGTATTTTATCCCTGTTACGAAAAGCTGCTTTTAGCACTTGGTTTCTTGCATGCACGTTATCAAGTTCTAAAATAACTGGGGACTTTTGTGACATATCCCTCGATCGTAATCTTGTAATTCTTTTGATTTGCACACTTTCTAAATTTATATCTTTTATGACTTTTAATACCTCTATTTTATCATCTTCTTTTCGTTCATTTAGATCACTTTTTGCGGAATGATTTAAACCAAAAACAGTAACATTGTTTTCTCTTCTAGCTCTCTCAGCTGTTTCAATTGCTACTGTATTTATAATATCTATTTGTAATGGAGTCTTTACACTATTTTTGCTGGCGACGACATTCCACGCCTTATCATCTATTATACATGGATTGTTTTTATTAGAAGTGTTTTCCTCTTCCAATTTTATTATTCTTTCTTCTAGATTTTTAATTCTTTCTTCTTTAAAGTTTAGCTTTAATTCTAATTGTTTAATTCTCTCTAATAAATCGTCTAGTTTTTTTTCTTCTTCTTTTTTAGGAGGCATTGTGATTGCTGTTTTATTAACTTTTTGTTTACTTTTTTAAAATAATATATTTTGTTTACTTTTTTAAAATAATACGTCTGCCATCTTTAAAACGGCAAAAAAAGTCTTAAAACGGCAAAAAAAGTCCTAAACTAAAATTTTTTTTATATTAAAAAAATGATTTTAACTTTAAATCCTTATATAAATGACTTACACTCATAAAATTGTTGCTTGAGTTTTGGATTAAATATTAAACTGTTTTTATATATATTGTGAATACACATTATAATACTCTAATTATTCAATAATAATTCAAAAATAATAATTTAAAAATAATAATTCCGTCAAAAATTGAATCGCAATAGATCAAACAGACCGAAAGGACTTAGCGGTAATCAACTTTCAAATAAGTTAAAATTGGATTATTTTTATCTCGGTCACCTTTTTGCACGTTAGATAATCTGTTTTGTCTGGGTGTCTTGATTAAGCTTACAATCTAAAAAGACATTGCATGGCTGCTGATGAAGGAATAACTCTATTATATCTGATGAATATTATAAACAATGTTGTTCAGGTGGTGTACCGTGGTACAGTTTAGATCCAATAAGTAGGTATGAACCTGGAACAACAAAATTGCATTAGTTAGAGACATCAGTTTATGACTATTGAGTAAAACGTATTGAGCATAGTTGCTGCAGGTTTAACTAAAACCAGAGTTACATGTTTACGAGAAGCTCGCTTTAACTCTATTTTCAGTAATGTCTAAAATATAAAATCGTCTGAAACGTTTTTTTTTTAAACCTGAGAACAGTGAACTTATAATCACTGTTATCAGGTTTAAAAAAAAAAGTATTCACTTCTCTCTGTTAAACTAACGGATAATTAGAGTTTCCGTTTAAAAAAAAAAACTCAAAACGGCTGGTTTTAAAACGAAGGGAAATAAATGATATTTTTATCCTGCCGTTTAGGCTAGAGGTGTTCGCCGAAAAATAAAACTTACAAAATTTTTGCATTTTTATCTTGCAAATTAAAAATTGCTATCGAGGAAACTGTGCATGCGCAAATTCACCTTCCGTAACGGATTATACAAAAAAAATTAAGTTTTTAATTCAATTGAGTCAAAAATTTAAAAAAACAGTTCCTTACGGAAGGATCATTTTGCATTGAGGACTCACGGAAAAGACTCTAAAGCATTCATACTGGCATACAAAATACATCAAACTGACATACAAAAAAATGTTATTATTTTTTATTTAAATAAAAAATAATGTTATTAAATGATTGAACGTTCAAATTGACTTTCTCGGAAGTCCTAGAATGACGTTCTGAACGTCTTTTGAACATTCAAAAGATGTTTTGAAAGCTCTAAGTTATTGCAAAACTATTAGTCATAAAGCAGTAATACTTTTGTCCGAATGTTCCTGTTATCATCATGAATCATTGTCTGCATGAATTTTCAGTTTGCAAGTTTGAATTAAATTTAAAATAAAAAGTTCATAAATATGTCATCTGGTCACGTGACCGGGACAAGATGACTTAATATGCGATTTCTGACTTCAATTTTATAAAAATTTAAAAACAACCAACCTATCTAACTAAAGAAACACAAAATAAACACGCGTCACAGAAAAATATTCTAACAAAAGTTACACCCAAAGGAAAAAAAAAATACCATGCATTATATTCATTATGAATAGCCAAAAGCATTGTATTATTTTTAAGCGCAAAAAGTTAACTTAGGCGTATAAAATTACTTTAATAATTTAAAAAATCAATTGGTATTTCCAGGTACGAATACCCGGGGTAAGGGTCGTCTTGTACGTGCCCGCTTTTTAGCTACAAAACCTTACAATAGCTTTTTCGCTACCTTCCAAAATAGCTTGAGCTTTAAAACTTTCAGTAGTTGTAGTTTCCTGGGCCAACAACACAAGGGTAAAATAGGTGTCCTTTCTTTTCATTATATATATATAAAATTTAAATACAATCTTTTCAAAGATTTTTTCAAAAAATTTTTCCTTTATATATATATATATATATATATATATATATATATATTATATATATATATATATATATATATATATATATATATATATATATATATATATATATATATATATATATATATATATATATATATATATATATATATATATATATATATATATATATATATATATATATATATATATATATATATATATATATATATATATAAAGGAAAAATTTTTTGAAAAAGTCTTTGAAAAGATTGTATTTAAATTTTTTATCAATATTGTTTGATTATCAATAATTAAAAAAATAACTTCTTTGAGTTATTATCCGTTAAGAACTAGTTAACTGTTTTGCAAGTTGTGGTGCAAAACAGTTGTGGTGCAAAACTTTGGTATGTAGCAAAATAACTTCGTTTCAACTTGCGAAAGACTAAATTCAACTTGCGAAAGACTAAATTTCGTAAGTAGCATTTGCAAAATGAAGATCGCCGATTTTAAATATTTTCGATTTTAAATATTTGGTACGAAAATAATAAATTCCTTATTTTCAATATCGTTCCGGAATCGGACGAAATCTTCCGGTGGACAACTCGAGTTTATTAACCTCCGTATATTAACCGCTCCGTATGTTAACCGCTCTGATAATTTTTTCAGTTAAAATTCCTCTGTTAGTTAGCTCCGTTATCTGGTTTTCGTACTGTTTTTCTCATCGCATCTAAACGTTGCGATGCCAACAGACGACGATTTTGTTTAATTGGTAAATAGCAGCCGGTGGTTTTAAAAAGTAATTTAAAAATTTACTTGACTTTATTTCTAGTCACGCTTTGAAACGTGATATAACTTTAATTACAAGCATCAATAAACAATGTTCCAAAAAAGAGTTGAACCCTTGATTACAAACTCTTGTTTTACATAATCCAATATGGCTCTAACATATCAGGTAAACACGGAAAAATCCGGTCATCTTAAATTTGAGATTTCCCTAAATCCATAACTACTTTTTATTTCTTTTTTTTTTTTATTAGATGTGTTTATATCAATTAGGGTTTCAACTTAATTTTAAGGGGCTTAATGAGCTGCTTGTCAAGAAATTAAATTTTATAACGGGTTGATGCCATCATTTAGTAGATTTTTTTAATTCTTTATCTTATTTGTGGCATTAATCGACCTTTTTTGGAAATCCTTTATATTTTTGTTACTCGACCTGTCATTCAAAGAACTCCATTAACTATTGCCCAAAAATCTTCAATCTTGCGCTCTTTAGGCCAATTTTGAGGATTCGCATCTTTAGGAAAAAATTTTACATTATTATCTTTGCACCACTGTAGAACTTTTTAGAATAGTGATAAGCAGCAAAATCTGGCCAAAAGAGACATCGATATTTTTTTAGATAGAAAGTGCTAGATTTTGCTGTGGTTTGGATTTTTTGCTATTGAACATAAAATCGACTTTTTAGATTTATTGAAAGTTTGCTTTCTTCCACTTCCAGATTTTCCTTCGAAGCTTCGAATTGTCTTAAAGTTATTTATAATATTTATGACTGTAGATTTTAGGACATTTGTACGTTTAGCAAAATCCACAACTTTTTTACATACCTTAATTTGTTTCCAAAATATTTTGCAAATCATTGATTTGTAAACAAAAGTTTATCAACACAATTAAAGATAAAGAAGTAACGTTTAATTAAAAAAATAAAAGAAATAAAAAGCACTTGTTAACATTTTAAAGCAACTACATTTTATATTTGATAAAGCTAACTAATAATAATTATTCTTAAAATATTATTTTTAATTATAGCTTATCTTATTAGCCAATTTGGTTATGAAGATAAACGTTATCAGATCGTTATCAGTCACTGTTATTTTTTCAAAAAGACTTGCTTCATGATCTTTTTAATCAACGTAAGAATGCATTTGATCTAAATTTAAAGTATCCATAATGAACCTGTGTTGGTAAGCCATTAGTGACACGTGGCGCTTATTTACTTTTTGTAGTAATTTGTAAGTAACAAATTCTCATTGTTATTTTATTATTGTTTATTATTTGTTAAGTAACAATACTTCTCATTGTAAAGCAGTGAGAAACTTATAAAACAACCCTTAATATCTGATATATTCATTCAAAATCTATTGACAATAAAATATTTAAATAAAATAATAACAATAAAATATCTTTATTATTTTGGGACTAAATAAATAAAGTTGAATATACTGTGCTGATTCTTTTATATCACACTGATTTACAATTATTACAAAATTCATGAAAACTATACAAACAGAAGTTAAATTAGATGTC